CCAGAAGAGTTGAAGCTGTTTCAGCAAAGGGTGGGCTGACATCAGACAGTAGACAAAAACTTTTGGCAACACAGTGTATGAAAGTAAAATATCAAAATGTATTTCGTATAATGGAGTAATGGCACCAATTGTGTAATTTCTGAAAACTTTCATTTAATATCTGTCATAATTTATTTTTGTTTGGGTAACAAGTCATTTACACACACTAATACCTGCAAAGTCCCGATGCATTAGCATTTGTATTAACTGTCAACACACTGACTCTGAAGATGATCACTTGTCCCACTTTTATGCAAATTTTCAATTTCAATTGAACTATAACAAGAGACAGTTCATTACCCTGAAAACTGAACTGCTCTGGTTAAAATTTTAGTTCCTAAAAACTTTTACATGTGCAAAACAGTGATGTGAAAGTAGAAACGAATTTGAAAGACAGACACATTTACGCATTTCTGGAACCAGTGATAAATCTGCGACACAAACATTTCTTGGTGTGATTCATTAGGCAGCTAGAGACTTGAATTCACCCTATTAACCTGGTAGGGTTGATATCATATCATCGCCATGAGTGTGGAATAGAGAGCTATGTCTGCTTCCCATTTGTGTTATGACAGTAAGCAAGGTACGGTCTAACCTTTCACTCTTATCTGTAATTTAATCCTTTATAAGCATCCTGCATGGGTTTTTGAAGCGAAACACAAGTGCAGAGATGCAGCACATTTTGCATTCACACTCACTGTATCTTAGGCCAAACTATGTACTAATGCAACTCTAATCCCGAGAACATGTTGAGGTTTAAATGAGATGAGAATGCAATAAACAAGAGGGGAAAGGAAAACATTGCGTCTTGCTGGAGAGCTTTGAAGTGAGAACTGGATCAAATCCCCATACGAAGCAAATTGCCTCTCTTTCCCACCAACTAAAGGGGATCAAAACTGTCTGTCCTAAAAATAAGAATCACTCCCCGTCCTTCTTCCTTTCTCTGTGTATTCTCCATGGGAAGACAAACACCACAGACCTTCAAGTTTTCCCTCCAACTCAACAAAGCCCTGGTCTTTTTGTCTTAAAAACAAACAGATAAGCCGCTCACTGTTGTCACTGTTTAAACAAGTTCACATTCATGTTTACATAGATATCCGTGTCGAGTTTTAAGCGATTATGTAATTATAATAATTCGGTGATCTGTTTTAAATGTAAATTTTTAAAAACCCCAACAAAATATAATAAGAGAACTAGAACTGCAGACGATCCTCATGAGTCCTGGGCGATCTGTTTCAAGAACTGAACTGCTTAACGCGAACCCATGCAGAAGACAAAGGGAGCTTTGACGAGAGATCATTATTCACGTAATACAGCTCTGTGCTACACTGCGATTAAATAATAAGTCAATAAGGCAAAAGAGCTGAGTAAGTGCTAAACTTTATGCGTCCGGTTCTTTTTCCTCCATTAGCATTAAATGTAGCAGACAGAGGCCTCCTCTGTACTTGGAGAGGCCTAAATGTGCATCAGCATTACGGTGCTATAAGTGTCATAAGAGACATTGCATAAGTAAATAATTCAACCGCTCACCCACCCACAAACTCGTCCAGCCCACACGGGACTATACAATGGCTGGATATTTAGTTTACCACACACAGGGACACACAGACACACACAAACATAAATTACTAGACTACTGTACATTTATGTAATATTATAACCCTGTTCCCCCCAAAAAGTTGGGAAGCCGTGCAACCTGTGACAAAAACAGAATTAAATTTAAATCATGTCGGTGATTTTACAAAGCAAGCTAAAACTAAAAAGCTTTAATTTTAGAGAAATATAAAGAGGTTAAACACATAATACAGACTGAAAGCAACACAGCTGCTACAAGTAGATCAGCAGTGTGTGTACATGCTTATAATAAAAAAGTGCTTACAGTAGTATAGTATTGATGACACTACTTTCTGGGGAAAGTGCTTACAGTATATAAATTTTTGTCTTTCTATGGTAAAGAATGTGTAGATGTAGTGATGACTTGCAGTCACATTAATCACATCTCAATTCTTATTCTTTCAGTTTACTCTTTAAACTGGGGCGATCGTGGCTCAAGAGTTGGGAGTTCGCCTTGTAATCGGAAGGTTGCCGGTTTGAGCCCCGGCTTGGACAGTTTTGGTCGTTGTGTGTTTGGGCAAGACACTTCCCCCATTGCCTACTGGTGGTGGTCAGAGGGCCCGGTGGCGCCAGTGTCTGGCAGCCTCGCCTCTGTCAGTGCGCCCCAGGGTGGCTGTGGCTACAATGTAGCTTACCATCACCAGTGTGTGAATGTGTGGCTGACTGGATGTGTAAAGTGCTTTGGGGTACATTTAACACAACGGCAAACCTAACCAAACTGCTTTTTGTACCCAGCCATGTTGCTGAACTATCGCCAGTGAATCTAATTAGTCTACAAAGTAATAGCATATAATTGTCAAAAACAAGCAAAAAAATATCTCAGCATGAACATGTAAAGATTTATTTTTACGTTATTCTCGGTTACATGTGGAGTTTGAACTGATTTGCAGTCACTCATCATGGGCATGAATGTTTTTCTTGACAGAAATGGTAGAGGCAATTTCAATCAATTGGTTTCTCATCACAGACCTGGATTTTTAGCGTAGTCCACAAATTCAGTTTCTGTAGGGTTGAGGTCAGAGCTTTAGGATGGCCATTCAATAATCTTATTGATCGTCTCAAGTTTCAACTGTCTAGCTGGTGATTTGAAGTGAAATTGAAGAATTTGGAGGTAGTTCTCCTTTTTCGTTATTCCATACACCTTGTGCAATGATCCAGTGCCACTGGCAGCAAAACAGCTTCATAGGATAATGCTACCACCACCTTGCTTGACAGCTGGTGAAAGCCTCACTTTTATCATCTTTTAAACATACAGCTCGTCATTGGGACCAAAAGTAAAGCTAGAATTCTCCTTCTTAGCTCTTCACTGAGTTGCTTGGACTTTCCCATTGTTCTGAGTACATCAGTCCAATAAATTCTGTCAAACAAATCCTTTTTATGCTGGCAAAGAGAACCTACCAGTTGCAGTCAATCATGATCACCGATGATGTTAATAAGCCTTGGCCTTGTCAAGTTAAAAAACCTTTTATTGCCTTCAGCATCAGTTAGTAAGTGTGTGTAATTAAGCCTGTATGCATACTTTCAAATGTGTGTAGATTAGAGAAAATCCCCCCCAAAATTTCAAATTGCACACTCAATTCTTGTTTTTTTAAAAAAAAGTAATTAAAGATGTGTGCTGTATAATTATTGCATCCTGGAAAAAGAACAGTTCAAATCTTTTAAAAGCACCCAAAATGATTACAACAATCATTCTGATAACAAGTGCATGTAAACTGACCACAACTGTATCTGCCAGATTCTATCAAGAAAAGGAATATACAGCAAAAAGATAAACCTGTTTCTACTTTTATTTTAATCTATGGGCATCAAACTGAACAACGCATTTTATGACTTAATGATTAAAAAGTAGCACATTTTTGCAAATATGATTCTCAGTATCACCTAAGTGAACACCTGTTTCTGTCACATGCACAGACACCTGAATGTGATCAAAAGAAGACATGGATAAATTTCTCTATAGTTGCCCATGCGGGACCATGAAACTGGCACATGATAGGCACTGTGATTGCCCAGGGAGACTAAAAAACTAAAGCATGTCGAACTAATTTAAGAAATCAATATCGTATCTTGTGAGACATCTCACACAGGAGATAGTCAGAGTTCTGGGACATGTAAAGTGACTGAATAGCTTTAAAAAGAAAATCCCATTAGAATACGGCCCCATTTAGAAACAACACAATCTGAAAGTGTGTATGAAAGTGCATGTGTGCAGGGAATTGGTTTATGTTTGTTTTTGTTTGGCTCTCGTGATTTAAACTCACCCTAAAGTCGATGCCCACAGTGGAGATGAAGCTGCCGGCCAGGAAAGCTCCGTCTTTGAATCGGACCAGAAGACAGGTTTTCCCCACACCAGAATCTCCAACCAGCATCACCTGCACAGGTATTCCAGCAGGAGTGAGTTAGAGGCATGTGAGGGATATGATTCCCCCCCCCCCAAAAAAAAAGTAAATGCCAGAAATAACTGAAATAATTAGCATGAACAGGAGGAAGCTGTTGCTCATTTGTTTAATTAACTATCAGCGTCTGATTGTTTGTCATCGCCGCATCTGAATCATTCGGCTAAATCGGTCCTGGTATTCTGGTGCTTGGCCACGGAAGAAGGTGTACGTGGATGAATGTGTGACTCCTTGCTGCGGCCAGTTGATGTCCTTAAAGCCTTTCTGTAAGTGCATGATGTATTCGTACGCGGTTAACTTTATTGCAGAAAAGCGAGCTGTACATTTCTCTTGTTATTCAGAGCTGTGATTAGGTTAAAGGTTTTATGTGATTACTATTATCAGTTTAGCTCAGGCACTTTGGGACCTGGAGTATGGAAATTAAAAGCGCCTCCTGGGTCCGTAGAGAGGAAGCAGAGAGGACACGAAAGAACCAGGAAGGAGAATTAAAAAAGGTCCCACTTCTTTTTATCTCTAAAAATCTTGTTTCTTTTGTGACCCCTCCCTCAGAAGCCTCACCCATATTCAGACCTTTGAAGGAGTGTGCAAGAGAAGGTGGATTCTCTGTCTCTCTTATATTTAATGTGATTATTGACCAGAGAGAGCCATAATACATGGAACATGGCAAAATGCCCGACAAATGACACTTTTCAGAGCACGATCAGATAGAGGTACAGTGCAATCTCTCAAAAGCCTCCTGCTAACCTTGAATCTACAGGTTGGACTATAATCCAGTGCTGAATTATCAAAAGAAATCAAAAGAGAAGGATTAGAGAGAATTTCGAAAGCACTTGTCAGAGCTGTAGGAAATCAGTGTGGCAGCATATGATGCTACTGAAGAAAAGCCCGGCAGTAGAGATTTTCACCCGTAGAAATCTGAGCCCAAACTGAAACAGGTTAATCCAACCTTTTGAAAATATGGAAGTAGAAGCCCTTCATTTAAGTGGCTTACATGGAACAATCCATTCTTTCAAATGGAAAAAAAGCAACACAAGGCCATCTCTCCTCTCACATCAAACAGCTGCTTCAAAAACACGGAGTAGGTGGCAAGGGCCCCTTGAAGCTACGCTGGGAGTACACACAGGGAATCTGTGGGTGTAAATCTGTGTTTGTGTTGAGGTGAAGTGGCAGCTCTGCACACCCAGTACCCTCACATTAGGTTGTGTACACCAACAACTCAACCTGCTTCTGAGGAAAACGTGTTATTAACCGGTTGCTCGGAAGGAGGAAATGATTTGTTGGTTGGCTGTTGTAGTGCGATGCGCCCCTTCTCCGGGTTATCGATTGTTTATTGACACAGCTGCTGTCGCGGGTTCGCTGCTGTTTAAATGATAAAGGTGGTGGTAAAACGGAAGACAATGAAAGCTGGGCAGGACAACGGCAGCAGCAGGCATAAAGTAGACTACAATCGGGTTTATCGTGCCTAAAATACACACACATACACAAAAGCATGCATATCATTTGCTCGATATTTAGTTTTTGACCTTCGTGGGTGTGTTGTTTCGCAAATTATACCCCACCGCACCCTTTCATGCAAAGTCCTACAACACAGTCGACTTTTGCGTGACTTGGGTTGGCTGAGTAACATCGGCGGACACCTTTACCTTGAAAGCGATGTCATAAAACTCGCTGCTGTTGCTGATGGACGGTCTGCTGGGATGGACTACACCATTCATCTGAACGATGCCCGGGCTTCCTCTCGCAGATTTCCCGGTCCCTTTCCCGGAGGGGCTGCCCGCGGACGGGCTGTTGGTCGCTGCTTTGCCTTTGACTGCCTTCTTGCGAGACATGTCTCAAGATTTTATAGTTTGTTTGTTTCTTTAAAAAAAAAAAACTATTCTCAACAGAATCAAACAAACAAAAAGCAAATCTAACCGGAATCTGCGCAAGGTAGGGCCGAAAAGTTGGAGCAGCGAAGAAGTTAAATCAGGTGATTTTTTTCACCTGTGCGTTGAACGCATGTTCCTCGACACCTTTCCACTCAAAGTAGGAGTGAATTTGTCGCAAATCGCTGGTGCTTCCGTTGTTGATCTGCCGCTTCCTGCTCTTGATAGGTTGCTCTTTCCAGGACAGCAGCTTCAGCACTGCGCGTAGTAACGGCAAAGCCGAAGGGGGCAGAGCTGAAGTCGATTTAGAGAGGAGGGGGGTTTTCAGGTTTAAACACAATCACGTGATTTCCAAAAGCATAACCTCCAATCGAGGGGGTCAGGGGCGCTCTCCGCGGTCCTGAAAAAGAAGAGCAGGAGGAGGGAAAAAAAATCAGCGGCACAGCTTTGCTACAGATTTGTGTGCAAGGAATTCTTCCACCTAAAAACGAAGTTTTGCGTTCAATGAAACCTTGATATTTGCAGGACTTTGGGTCAGTGTGTGCTAAAGTACAGAGCATTCAGATTTTTCTCTGTCAGCAGTCTGATTTTTATGTAATAAAGGTGATATGTTGTAAAGCCTCATAATAGTTTGCATTATACTTTAAAACAAAACTGCTTTTAAAGCAGCTAGTTTTGCTTTTTTAGTAATAAGCTTACCCTACTTTGTGTTACAGAAGCCGTTTTAAGGTGGTACAACATTTCCATGTATTATACTGTATTATACTGATGATTAGCTTAGATTTTTGGCTGCAGGTCAGTACAAATAATTTTAAAAGGTTCTCTTATACATGAATGATCAAAAGAAAAACAGCTGAAACGCTTCGGCCACCTGTGGAACGTTCTTGTCTTGTGATTTCAACATTGCGCCGCAAGAGGGCGGTATAGCAATAAGAAACAAAGTCATAGAGCTTAAAACTCAGACCTACAGTTGCACTTTATACTTTGATTTCAAGAAAATGAATATGATTGATTTAAATGTGTGAGTTTTAGAAATTGAGAAACGACTATATTAGATCACTATTAGGAGTAAAATAAAAAGAGGTGCTACTGTTGCATGAGTCTGGCTTATATATCAGTACTACTGGTTGCTTCTGTCCAAACTACAGTAGGTTTTTCAGTTGCCTCCATAATCAAGAATGGTAAATGATGGTCACTTGATCCTCTCTGAACTAACCCACACCCTTTCTAATTCATATAATAGTTTTTCCTTCCGCAGCATGACTTCCGCAGCAGTTTTCTTTCCGTTCATTTTCCAGACTGTCCAGGCTCATTAGTCTATTAATGGCAATCATAGCCCAGAGACATTATTTGATGCCCACATCAGGGAGTCAAAGTGAGCTCTCATTATCCCCTCAGCTTTTCAGTGTGCTTTTCAGTGCGTCCGTAATTGTAATATCAGGCTGAAATTTCCACAGAGGAAGTCACATTTTAGATATGCAAGTTACAACTGAAAATCAATCCAGAAAGAAACAACAGAGCATTAAACAGGTTATGAGTCACATGTATAGAGGGATCAGTGTATTGAAATCATTGCATTTGGAATTTAGCTGATCCCTAAGTGGTTTTGACATAACTGTGGTAAACCTTTGCTGCTAAAATGACAAATGAATCTCTTCCTTTCTTTATTTTTGAATCCCCAACACTGAATTTCACATCAAGCCAAATTATATCCCACAGATTATTTGGGGATGTCTCTTAATTTGACCCCCAGCTCAAAAGTCAGTCGTTTTTGAGCTGGGGGTAGAAACAGAGCAGTTTGGTTGTTAACACACGGACAGCTGTAGCCTCTGCTTTCCGTCCCTCAGTTTGCTGTCTGTCAGCATTTTTCCACCCAGCTTCACGCAGGGCAGTGAGTGGATTTGGGGGGAATACAAACCCGAAAATCCACCAACCTTTTTGCACAGCTCCCTTCAACAGCTGAGATTCCTTCTGCCCCCAAAGCAGCTGTCTGCTGTGGCAACAGCTGGGCATTTTGGAGGGAATTAGGGACGTCGATAGGGAAGGTCACTGGAATCCATCCCTGCTTTCAGGAAAATTAACATCCTTGTCAAGATGAGTTAAATATGTCTAACGACTGTACTTTACATCGAGAGGCTGTAATGTACAGTTAGGGTGCCATATGCTTGTGCATGTTTATGAGTTTCTGTGCCAAGGCCCATGAATACAAAATGTGGAGGCAGTTCAGAGAAACCTAATGAAGCGAGTGTATTTTTCCTTTGCTGAAAGTAACAAACCAGACGTTAATTTCAAGCACTTGTTTAAGTATCGCGCACTGTAAAACAGCATCCAGTCACATAAACGTGGTAATCAGGCACAAATTACAGCACTCTTTCCCTGGTGCAAGGGTCATTAGATTTGCTCCATGATGATTACTGTGTGGGAGATTGCAAGTGGAATATAGCTGGTCGAGAGCTTGAAAGACAGAGAAAAAAGGGGGAAAAAGTGTTAAAATAATACCTGTAGTTGTGTATGTGTCTGGGTACCTGGTGTAGTAAGGTCATTGAACCCTCAGGGTCAGACCACTCTGCAGGCACACCCAAATGTTTGGCATTTGTCAGTTTACTCAGGGTCAGGTGCCCTGAGTGTGTGCTGGGTGGCGTGCAGCAGCCTGGCCAGTCGCTCAACCAAAGTCACAGCAACTGTTGATCTTTTGGCTGCTTCTTCTGTCAGCTGCCTGTGGCCTGAGTGCTGCAAGAGGGGGCAGGGGGCATCTTGCCAGCCCGAACCCCTGTTTGTCAGGCCTTGGCGAGAGCAGCCGACAGTGGACTGGTACCGCCTGGCACTTATTCGCTCCCCGAGGCAACTTAAATGAGAAAAACACACTGAGTGTATATGTGTGTCTCAGAGAAAAGTATGGGTGGGTGCTAGTTGTTTGTATGTGGTTATATCAAATATATTTTAATAAAAAACATTAAAAAAAAAGTGCACAGGTATAATATGAACAGAACAGTTTTTATTATAGATATTTAAATACTCAAGGAATGCTTTACTTCAACTATAATCCCATAAGTCTTATCCTGCTTTTTGCTCCATGACATTTGCCACATGTTATAGAGTTAGTGAGGGAAACAGCTTTATACTTACAGGACACACACATTAAAAAGAGGTATTATTGGAATATTTTGACACTGTTATGTAGTGATGTTTCCCAACCTTTTTCATTTATTACTTATGAATCCTTTCTGTGTTCCAGGTTTCCATTAGCTGTCAGTATTTTAGTACTCTTTTTCTGATTTCTTAAAAAAATGTTGACGACACTTTGTCTGATTTTCCAAAATAAATTCAAATTCATAGATCACTAAACCACAATATTAAAATCACCTATCAGGAGCGCTTCCACATGCCAGGAAAACAGCTTTGATCCACTGGCGTATGGACAGGGACGACTGAGGATGTCCTGTGGTTTCTGGTACCAGTAAGCTGGAAGTTTATCACTTGGGTCCTGCCTGGGTTTTGGGGTGTCAGCCTCTGTGGATCAGGCTTGTTCTGGCATGTCATGTTTTGAAGTGAGGCTGGGTTAATGGTTTGGGCACTGTGTGGGGGAGTGAATTGCCCTTCTGGAGGAGGCCGGAGGCTCCGGCCATCAGGGAGTGCTGTTGTGACTGTTTGCAATAATTATGTGTGTGTGTGTGTGTTAGCATATTACCAGTAAAGCATTGTAACGGTCAGAGAAACTCCTCTTTATGTCAGTGCAAATAAGTTTAGACATATTCTAAAATAAAAAAACAAGGGCAATTTCAGGAGTACATCTCAGTTTTCTACATGAGAAAGAAATGCTGCTTTGGGCCTAAATTGTAAAAAAAAAAAAAAAAGTTCTACTATCTATTTGTGCTGACTGTCCTGCAATTATAAAATTGATACTTTTTGTTAACAGATTTGTCTTTGTTTCTAAAAATCACACATTTCTATATTAGATAATGTTATAGAAAACAGGAACCTTCTGCTATTTCATTGTTTATCTATTGCTTATTTACTTTGGTGTGACATGAATGGTTTTAGTTTCATCAGTAGAAAAAAATGTAAAACCTTTGAAAATACAGTTAAAAGTCTAAAATGCATGCCCTTCTTCACTTTGACAGCCTTTGGCGGGCTGATTCTGGCCCGGTTCACGACAAATGAAAAATATTTTAGATGGATAGTCTGACTAACACCATGAATATCTAATGTGAAATCCTGATATTTCAGTTGAATTTTAATGCAGTTTCTTTGCAGCCGTAAGGTCATTTTGTTAACTTTTGTCTACTTATAAATTTTGACCTAGAAGCAGAAATAAAGGAACCTTTGTGTACTTTAGCTGAGAAATTGCAAAGAAACGGTGCTTTGCAGAAACAAATGTGCTAAGGCTGCTTGAAATTGCCATGGCACAATCATGTCCTTCAATGCCTCAATTCTTTTAATGTGCTAAACAAATTAAGCCAAGCACCCGCTTCAAACCTGTCATCCTGAAAATGTTTTAATTCTCTTTCCTTGGCATCATAAAAAAACGAAGGTGACAACGATAATTATTACCTTTCCAAAGACGTCACCACATCATCCCAGTGTCACACATGCAATTTCCACCTCTAGTTTTCACAGTTGTGTTTTTTTCTTTTTCAATTTTGCTGCAAGTCAACAGGGGGTCTGCCTTAGTAAGGCCTCAGGGAGCTGTAGAAAAGTTTAATCTGAAGTGTTGAAAATCAGACATGCCCAAACCTCACTGGACCCTTTAAAAGATCCAGACATAAGAGTCTGAGCCAGGGTACCAAAAATGGAAAAAAACTCCACATGGGCAATAATCACTAACAGAGGTCCAACTCCCCTCCCAGATATCTGCTCCTTATTTCAGTTCCCCTATTCAATTGCAGATAGTTACTAAAGCTGAACTCAGTCTGAGCATTTTCTATTTTCGTGGATTGAAGTATCAAGACACTTTTTCTTTTCACTTGCAAAAATCCCAGTCTGCCATCTTAAGAAACAGGATACTGGGTGCATTCACAAGTGATGGGTTGTGTTATCCAAAGTCCACCCATAAATCCTTGCTAATCCAGGGTGCTTCCTGCGAGCAACACTGTCACTGTATCTGCTGCTCTGGTGATCAGATTTATGACCTTGCACATGGTGTTGCTGTCAAACAGGAAGCATTTGTTGTTGCACTTACTCACTCTCACACACACAGAGACGAAAACATGCATAGTAAGCACAGGAGTGATTTCACACGCACTAATCATAAGATCCAGTGGCCCAAAAT